TTCCTAGTGATGTGCACCCTGGGGGGCAGCTGACGAGGCTCAAGTGTTGGGTCCCTGCCATCCTTGTGAGACTTGGATTAGGCTCCCAGTTCCTGGCTTTGGCCTGCACCCCACCCCCCACCCCCGCCAGCTAATGCAGTTATCTGGGGAATGAACCAGAAAGAAGATCTCTGTCTCTCTGCCTCCTAAATATATATTAAAAAAAAAATAAATTTGCAAAGATTTTAAATAAATATAACATCAAAGAAAGATTTGTTTGGGTCAGTGTTCTTCACTTCCTGTAACTCCATTCCTGCCTATTTCCTTCCAATCTGTGTTTGTGGTTGGGCCTAACATTGTACACCAACTGCCATCTGGAAGCTCACGACTTTGTGGGCTCCCCACTCCCCTGTGCACACACACATTTAACATCGGTTGTCCTAGAAATACTTCCGCATAATGGCACCATCACCACCATCACCACCATCACCATCACAGTCATACGCCTGGGTGCTCTACGACAGTTACTTCGCACACTTTAACTCCCTGAGTCTTGATGACCACCCTAGAATTAGGTCCTTGACGATCCACATGACAGATGGGGAAATCGGGGCTTGAAAAGATGAACGAATTTGCCAAGGCCTCCCAGCTGGTAAAACCAGAAACAAGATGAGGTGCTGCCCCGTGAGAGTCCCAGGTCCTTCCTGGGGATCCGTCCACCCCACCCCCAACCCCTCACAGTGGCCAGGGCTGGGCCAGGCCTAAGCCAGAAGCCTGGAACTTCATCCAAGCACTAGGGCCACCTTCTGCTGCTTTCCCAGGACAAAGGGACGAGGAGGTGGCAAGACCTTGCAGGACCTTGAACAAGTCACTTCCCCTCTGCTTCGCTCACCCAATCATTCTTGCCTTCGGTGAGCGTGTGCGAATCACGGAGCCACACGCTGCCCATGGAACAGTGACTGCAATACGCGTGCTGCCCCGGGAGAGCAGCGCTCACTTCTCTTCCTGCACAAGAAGGCTCTGAGCCCCACCCGCTGTGTCACGGGGCCATCCTGAACACGAAGGGAATAAAGCGTGGGCAAAAGCTCTGCCAATGCGAGGCTCCCCCCGCGCGAGAGGCGAGAAGCGTTTCCGTGGCTCCTCACCACTGAGTATTATTTTATCCAGTGGATGTTCCAAAATGTTTCCAATCATCTTCCTATTGTCGGACACTTAGTCCCAATTTGCTGCTATTATACAGGAAGCGCGATGGGGATTTATCCAAAGGGGGGAAATGCCAGATGCACAGACGATGCCGCTCAACCTTGTGAACGACTGCAGGGAGACTTCCCAGGCATCGCGCGGATCCTTCCCCGCCCCAGCTCCTCCTCCCCTGCCTGCGAGACCCCCTCCTGCAAGGTCACAGCCCACCCCTCCCTGTGGGTCACACAATGGCCAGACATCTTCCCCAAGACTCCCTGGGGGACTCAGCTCCAGCAAAGGCTCCCAGGGCCTCCAGGCTCCTGTAGAGTGGAAACACCTTAGCCTGACAGTGATGAGAGACGGGAGGGAGAGAGGAGGCATAGTCACTGAGCTCCTGCTGGTGCCAGCACTGCCATAGGTGCTTTATGTAACAACCACACGGCAGCCACTACAAGACAGGGAGGGTCACCTGCAGCTTACAGACGAGGAAACTGAGACTGGAGCCAGCTAGCGATGGGCCCACGGCCAGGGCACGCGTGCTCGGCAGTGCGAGCTCTAGGGCCTAGATTCCAGGCCTAAACACCAACGGACCTTCTGAGTCACCTTCTGGCTCACTTCCCTGGCCTTTGCTACCTGTCCCAGGCACACCAGACCACCTGCTCAGCTTCAAAGGCACCCCCATTTCCTTCTCCTCTGACCTGGGGAAGGTGCCCTTCCCGCCACAACCACCCAGATCCTACCTACTTGGCCCTAAGTGCCCTCTTCCAAGGCCTCCTTATTCTTTTAAGACTTCCCTGACCACCCAAATTGGAATCCACGCTCAGCAGGTACGGGAGCACTGTCTTCCCCTGCGTCGTGTCATGGCCCTGGCTCTCCTGGCCAGGCTGCGGAAGAACGATGCATCTGATCGAGTGACTGGTTTCAAAACCTAACAAAACTCGGCCCAACCTCAGCCAAGCTGCAGGAACAAGCATCAGGAGCACGGCTCGGACCCACACTGCCTGGGTTTGAGTCCTGGCAATCTAGCCTTGTGACCTTGAGCAACCATCTTTCCCTCAGTAAGCCCCAGTCCCGTCAATCTGTAAAATGGGTAGAAGGGTAACAGCGTCATCCCTCAGCATCCATGGAGGATTGGGTTCAGGACCCCTGTGGACACCAAGATCCTCAGATGCCCAAGTCCTTTGTATGAAATGATGCAATGTTTGTACAGAAGCTACGCTCATCCCCCTGCAGACTTTACATCATCTCTAGATCACTAAGATAACGTCAGTGCCGTGTGAATAGCTGATATGCTGTTGTTGTTTCGGGGATAATGACAAGGAAAAGAGTCTACATGTTCAGCACGGATGCCATCCCTGCCCCCCACTGCAACTGGTTGGTTCCACAGACGCAGAACCCATAGACACAGAGGGTCGACCGGACTGACGGCACAGGGTTTTGTGAGGACAGTAGGAAGGCTGCGTGGAAACCCTTACAGCAGTGCCTGGCATCGAATACGTGCTCAATAAACGGTAGCTGTTACGACTCCTCTCCCCGAGCCTCCAGCCCACAAAGGAAGCTGGGCCGCCTATTCTCAAGCCCAACCCGTGGCCCAGGCGCAGGTCTCTGGTCACAGTCCCAGTTGGTGCCCTGTGGCATTCCCATCAGTGTTTTCTGGTCACGTGAGTTCAAATGTGGCAGGGGACAAATGACAGAAGCAGCCAATCTTGCCTGTTCACCAAGGGAGCAGAGCGTCTGGCTAGGATGCAGATGGCCAGAGCTGGCACCTCTTTGCCCCTACCACTGAGTATTACTGAGGCCACAGCCCACCCTTGCCTTGCCAGACCCCAACACACTGACCTCTGAACTTGCACAGTCCTGATATTCCAATCAATTGCCGAGCTCCACGCGACACCCACCTGGTGCCCCGGCTACAATGTCATGGTAGAGTGTCGGGCTCTGGACCCAGACAGCCCCACACTTTCCACTGTGTAACCCCAGGGAGGTTACACCACCTCTCTAAGCCTCTGTTTCTCACCCATGACAAGTAGCCAACAAAGCACCCGACACAGTTGCTGGGAGATGATACCAGGTACTTATCCTAGTGCACGGCATACAGTAAGGGCTCAATAAATGCTGTCACCCAGGTAACTGCCAGTATTGCTCCAGGTAGGGATCATCATCATCCCCTGGTAGTAGATGGGACAGAGAAGCCCAGAAAGGGGCCTGCGGTGTCCAGGCTGCAGCTACAAGAGGCATTTCCCACCCCAGCCTGTGCAGTCAGGCGATCCTCTCTGCCGCCCCCAAAGCTCAGGCCCAGAACTTCCCAGGCACCCACACTACACTCCCAAGAGGGTCCAGGGCTGCTGGCTGCCCTTTCTCTCGGCCGCACCTCTATCTTGTGGGGTAGGAGCTGGGTGGCCTCAGGCCCCAGGCCATAACTTCCAGCTCCAGGCAGAGTCCTGAGTATGGCACGGCCACAGCAGCAGGGAAGCAGGTGCCTGAGCTGCGAGAAGCCCCGACGGGGAAGAGGACGGGACATCGGTGCCGGCTCCCACTCAGCCGCCATGTGACCTTGGACGAGTCATTCTTCCTCTCCAGGCCTCCATCTATCTTTTAGTATTTACTGAGCAAGACCAAGCACTGTTCTCACCTAGGATTCAGAAGCCACAGGGTCCAGGAAGGGCTTGAAGAGGAATGCTGTCCCCCACACGGACGCCCTCCAGGACGCCTGTGGTGCCCAGGCTCCCAAGGGCTGTGCTCTGCACGGGTTGCTGGGCAGGCATGGCCTCAGGCTGGCCTGCATGCGCCAGCTCCGTGCCCGCGCTGGGCCACAGCGCTGAGAGGGGAGCCTGGCACGGGCTGCCTCCGCTGCAGGCTCCATCTGGAGGCACGGGAGGCACGCAGGCTCCCAGCCACTCCTGTTCTCCACACCCCAGCTCAGGACCAGCAGCCCCGCATCTCCCACAGGCTTCTGAGGGCATCAGCCCAGTCCCCAGCTCAACAGACTCTCAATGCTGTGGGAGGGGGCACGGCAGCTGGGCCCCGCAGAGCCCTGGAGGAGCCTTAAACCCGGTGCTCTTCCACTCCCACCTCTGGGTGCAGAGGAGGTGACATGTAGATCCCCGAGTGAAGGTGCAGCGTGCGGCAGAGCGCTCCCCGCCTCCAGTGCATCCTCAGAGCTCCGGGGGAAGCGAGGACCATGGCTGGCAGCTGAGGGAGACAGCAGCATGCCGGAGCTCCCTTCTGGTCCTTGTCCAGACCCTGAAGGTCCCCATGAGCCACCACGGCCCACAAAGCTTTGCCAGTCAGTGGCCTCAGCATCCAGTAAGCACCCGGGGGTGCTGCAGTCCCTTGGTCTTTCATGCCTGTCCCCCAGACCCTAGGCTCATGGCCCTTGGGCCTCCCTGAGGTGCCAGACACAACTGAGACACCCAAGTCCTCTCCCTCTCATCGCTGGGGACAGATCCTGGCCACAGGCACAGCGGCCCACATCCCCAGCTCCGGAAGACTGGGAGGGGAGGAGGGAAGGGGAACAACCCCAGGGTGGGGGTTGCTCCCCAGGGGTCAGGAGCTCCCCAGCATCCCGATCTGCCCGCAGGAGATGGTCCCACAGCCTGTCTGAGAGATCCCCAGGGCCGGGGCCGCCAAGAGACAGCAAGAGCAGGCAGCAGGCAGCAGAGCTCAGTCCCCAGCAGGCAGCGGCCCACCAGCCCCGGTAGCCCCTACCCTGGCGGGAGGTCAACAGCCTGCAAACTCAGTTCGCGGTCTCCTCCCCCAGGGCTGGAGGCTGGGCCTACAGACAGCAGCTCCCGGCCCCTGGCTACACCCGATCCCATCCCCGACCCCCGCGTGCCTACCTGGGCCCGAGGGTCCCCATCTTGGGCAGCCTGGGCGAGGGGCGGCCCCTCGGCGGCTCGGGCGGCAGGCCGCGGGGCGGGGCGGGGCGGCACGGCCGCGGCGGGCTCTGCGGAGCTGCCTGTTCCGCGACACCCCCGCCGCTGATGGATGCCGACTGCAGCGGCGGCGGCTCGGCGTGCGCCGGGGGCTGGGCACCGTGCCCACAGCCCCGGGCCTGGCGCCCGACGCGCGCCCGCCCCCGCCCCGCTGGCCCCCACGCCCAGCCCAGGGGCGGCCGCTCGCGCCTGCTTCCTCGCTCGCGGCTCGCGGCTCGCGGCGGCCCTGCCCCTGCCTCCGCCTCCTCGCTGCCTGGCTCCCTCTTCCCCTCCCTCTCTCCCGCCCCCGGGCCACCTCCTCCCAGGCCTGGCCACTGCGGGACTGGGCAGCAGGAGGCAACTCTTGCACCTCTCTGCCCCGACCCTAGCCCTGGTTACTGCGGCCAACCCCTGGGGCTCAGCAGCGCTGAGGAGGGGGAGGGAGGGAGGATCCCTGACTCAGAGGGGGTGACTCAGCCTCAGGGGGCCGCCCATCCCCCCAGGCCGACCCCCTCACCTCCCCTGCAGCACAGCGTGTGGCAGGAGCTGTGGGGACTTGGCGGCGTGGCTCCCCATTGGGAAGGAGCTATTGCAACCGTTCTCCGGTCTCCCTGGAAGCCTCCTGCCTCCCAGAGTCTCTGGAGGCTGTGCGTCTGTGCATTGGTCCCTACGTGCACTGTGAGGTGACCATGAGGGAGACAGTGAGTCCAGGGATCTGTGAGGGACTGTGTAGCAGATGCGCCTGCTCCCCAGGCTCCAGGAAGGTGGGGGTGGCCAAGAGGCCGCTGGCAGAGGTCATAGCTCAGAACCAAGTCAAGCAGGGGTCTTCCTCCCCCGCAGCACGGTTCCACCTCCAAGCTGGGACCAGCACACCTCACTCAGACCACAGGCAGGGACCGCCAAGTGCAGAGGGCTCTGGAAGGCGGAAGGCCAGTGCTTCAGTCCAGTTCTGCCACTGGCAAGCTGCTCCCTGGTTCTGGGTCTCGGTTTGCAAACAATGAAACAAAGGGCTGGATGTAGGGCTCCAGGGCTCAGGTCATGAGAGGCCTGGAGAAGGCGGGTCACCCCCAGGATGGCCAAAGACCTATGTCCATGATTGGACACTGGCTGCCCACATGACTCCTGGCCTCTGCCCCTCCCCCCACAGAACGCACATTTATTCTTTTGCTCTTCAAACCACCTCCCAGCACCCCTTAGAGAACTGTGCCCCTTTGTCCCATTCCCAAAGCGAGCCTTCCACTCCTATACCAGGTGTCCCAAGACACAACTTCCAGTACCTTCTCTCTCCCTGCTGCCCACTGGGCCCAGGAGTGGGTGGAGAGCAGACACAGGGAAGCAGCCAACTCCTCCTAGCCTAGAGGACACTCCATCCCTGCAGACCAGAGAGGGCGAGCCCGACATGTCGGCCCAGGGCAACCCAGGGTCCTGCCTAGCAGATTTCCTGGCAGATCCCCACCACGGCCCTACCCCCATCTCCCAACTTCAGTTCTTCCCAGGAACTCCCCAGGAGCCCCAGCCGGCCCTCAGGGGTGTGGCCTCAGGCGAGCCACTCTGCCATCCAGGGTGCTGTTTGAGTGCAGCTCAAAGGAATGAGCGGACGAATCTGACACTTGGGAGTTCCCTCGGCAGATGACTCCAGTGCTTCCGGTGAGATGCCTGCCTGCCTCCTTCAAGTATTTTGCTCCAAACAGATCCTCAGCCTTCTCTGCTCACACGGCCACCCGTCCATGGGCTCCTGTGGGAAGGCTCGGGAGGGCGGGGCTGTGCAGCCAAATCCTCCCCAGGGCCTCCTAGTTCAACTCCCCTTCCCTGGGTCCCCTCCCCCGGGCCCTTCCCCCCAGGCAGGGCCCTCCCCACTCCTCGGGGCAGAGCCACTTTCCCACCCTCCCTAGGCAGATGGAGCCTCTTACTTTCCCAGGAGAATCCAGGCTGCGCTCCAAGCCCAAGGCAGGATGTTCCCAGACATCACTCTGCAGCTACACCCAAAGGGCCCATTTCACTTCAGCTCAGTGGGTCCATACCGAAAACCGGGCTTCTCCTGCTATGTTCATTATTTCTGATGCTGTTATTATTATTGGCAAACTTCTCTATTAGCACTTTTGAGTGTGTACGGCACTTTCATTGTCACATATCCCCCATTAAATCCAGAGGCAGGCTGAGGCCCAGAGTGGGAGCGACTTGTCCAAGGTCAGCTTGCTCAGTGGCACACACACTTCCCACTCTACCTGACAGCGACCAAGGAATCAGGCAGGGACGAGGCCCCCACAGGCATCCGTTGACATGGTTACCTGGCCGCTCGCATCACCTAGGCAGGGAAATTGAGGCCCTGGGACCAGACTCAACCCAGGACTAAGTCTCCTGAAAGCCCCCAGGCAGAAGTGCCAGGGCCAGGGGAGACCAGCCCAGGAAGCGGGCTCTGCGGCTCCCTCAGCTGTGAGTTCTGCTCCCAGCCCTGGCTCTGTCCCTCCATGTCCTCTCTCACCTGTCAGATGGGAGCATCTCTCCCCTCCCCTCCCCTCCCCTCTCCTCCTCTGGCCCTGGGCCGGGTTGGGGGGGGGGTCGGGGGTCATCAAGTGCTGGCAGAAGAGAAATGGCAGGGCTCCGCCTCCCTCTCCGTTCTGCCTAGGAGGCAGGAGAAATTCTTTTCTTTTTAAATGTTAACTGGAGCAAAGCTGAAGGTGCAGGAGTCCAGGAGAGAGGAAAGCTGGGAGGATGATCTGCTCTACTGGCTGCCGGGGCAAAGCAGGCAGCGTCCCCCCCACCCCACACACACTCCAGGCCGCTCAGGGGTGGGCAGGGACTCGGCTCCTCCCCCCACTCTGCTCTTTCAAAGGAGGGAGCCAAGACCCTCAGCAAAGCAGCCACTTAGCGACGTGGCCCACGGGGAGTCGGGAGCTGGACGTGGCCTCAGAACTCCAGCCGCCAGGGGCTCCTTGATCCTGGCTGGACAGGGTGGGCGAGGAGCGCTCCCGGCCAGCGCTGAATCGCTCTTCCAGCAAGCAGGGCCGTTCCCACTGAGCCAAGCCCTGGGGAAGGCGCGAGGACCGGGACAGTGTCTGCCCTTGAATTCACAATCAGTCCAGCGGGGGGGATCGGCCCAGAAACCAGCACATCAGAAGCTTCCAGAAGACGAATCACCACCACCTTCCGAGCACTTCCTCTGTGCCCAGCACTAGACACACGGCCGTTTGTTCAATCTGTAAAACAATTCCCTGGCGCTGCAATTAGGAACCCCTTTTACGGTGGGAGAAACTGAGGCTCGGCGTGGATGATGACTTTGCAGAGTTCACCGGGCTAATAAATGGCAGGGCCAGGACGTGAAGGCCACAAGCCACACGTGGCTATTAGGCACTTAGAATGTGGCTTGCACAAATTGATACGTGCTAAATGTAAACTACACACCAGAGTGTGAAGATGTAGTACTGAAAGAAAGAGAATGTAACCTATCTCGGAGGGGCCATCGATGTGGCGCAGCGGGTTAACGCCCTGGCCTGAAGCGCCGGCATCCCATATGGGCACCAGTTCGAGACCCGGCTGCTCCACTTCCTGTCCAGCTCTCTGCCATGGCCCAGGAAAGCAGTAGAAGATGGCCCAAGTCCTTGGGCCCTGCACCCATGTGGAAGACCTGGAAGAAGCTCCTGGCTCCTGGCTTTGGATCGGCACAGCTCCAGCTGTTGTGGCCATCTGGGGAGTGAACCAGTGGATGGAAGACCTCTCTCTCTGTCTCTGCCTCTCTCTGTAACTCTGCCTTTCAAATAAATAAGATAAATCTTTAAAAAAAAAACCTATCTCAGAGATAACGTTTATATCAAAATGATCATACTATGGGAGTGTTGGGTTAAATTACAGGCACCATTAGAATAATTTCATGCTTATTCTCACTTTTTTTTTTTTAATGCAGCCACTGGAAAAGTGAAAGGTACCCATGTGGCTCTCGGTCTGTTTCTTTCAGTCGGGACAAAAGATGCCCTGAGGTCCTCACCCAGGCCCCAGGATCAGAAAAGGCTTCCTGGAGGAGGGGACCGTGGGGCTGGGTCAAAGTCAAAGCTGGGGGAGGAGGGTGTTCCAGGGCAAGAGAACTGCAGGGCATCTGGCTCTGGCCCCGGCGGGCAGCCGGGCCTGGGTGGGCTGAGCGCTGGGCCAGAGGAGGAAGCTGCCAGGGCCAAGCTTTCCAGAGCAGAGCGACGACGAGCAGGCCTGGGAGGTCTGCCCAGCGAGGCCGATCCGCCGGTCACTGGCACTCCCGGGAAGGCACTGCAGGGTGGCTGCGTCTGGGTGGACAGGGCAGTGCCCAGCCGGCAGAGAGTTTCCTTCTCCTCACTGCCCCTCCCCTCCTGGGAACACCCTCCAACATCACAGTCCCCAGAGATCTCACCCACCCCTGGGACCCCCAGCTCAGGGCACCCAGCACCTTGCAAACCTGGTACAGTGTCGCTGAGGGCCCCAAGGGCAATGGTTACCTCTGGGAAGTGGACTGGGGTGGGGTCGGTGGCATTCATTAGTGCGGGAGCTCCAGGACCTTGGGCAAGGCCTTACCCGCTCTGAGCCTCTGTGCAATGGGTCGGTATCAGCACCACCTCTCAGGGCTGCTAGGAGCATGGTGACTAGCTCGCTCCGTGCTCTCTCCTCTGCCTCAGGGGAGCCTGCACGGGGGCATGCCTGCGGTTCCTCCAGTCTCCCCAAGCACCCCCCTCCTCAAGGTTGCCTCCCCTCCTGAAGCCCCCCCCACACACCCACTCAGGCTCTTCCTCGTCTCTACATCTGAATCTGGGGCTCAGTTCTCATGAGGCTCTGCGCCTTCTCCAACAAGGCTGCTTTCAAAGACAGGAACCTTGCCTCTGCTCCCCCAACCCCACTCCTCGGTACCCCCAGCCGGGCTTCTGCGCAGGACTGGGCACTCCGCAGCCCTGGGCAGTTGACTTCCAGCCTTGGCCCGAGCAATGCTGGGCTCCACCTGTCATCAGAGCAGCCGGCCCCGCCCTGCTTCCTAATGGAAGCACCTTGGTGGCTCCCGTTCCCTGATGAAGAAGCGCAGAGGCCTCAGCCTGCCTCTCCAAACCTCGCGACACCACCCCCCCACCCCCCCCCCCCCCCCCCCGGTCTCACGTGGCTCTTCAGCCTCCTCCTTAGACAGCACATGACTCACTCGGTCAAATTGACAGGTTCCGGCCACCAGGGCACA